ACCCGGGCATCAGGACGAATGTATAGTGCGCATGCACTACGGAGTGTCTACGTATGAAGATTACGATCTACTGCTAGGGGTGGAGTACCTGTTTGCCATCGGTACCACCATCTGCATGTGGGAGGAATGGCTGCTGTACCGAGTGACCTATTGGGAACATGACAGCGAGCTGGCCGAGTTACCAGTGCGGTTCATCAGACGGGAACCAAGGGAGGCCTATCAAGCCGTGGGGAAACCGCTAGAAGAAGAGCTGGGTGTCATGAATTGGAAGGAAATGGGGCAGACGGAGCCGGCACGGAAGTAGTACGAAGAGATCTGGGGAACCAGCGACAACCTGCGGGAACCGGTCCTGAACCTGAGGGCGCTACAGAAGCCGCTGGTCATACTGGAGCTATATGGGGGAATAGCCACTGGACTGGCGGCGGTGCTGAAATCGGGACACACTGTAGCCAAATACCTGTATGTGGACAATGACGGTGACGCGAACCTGATGGCCTGGCATCACCTCAAGGTGCTAAAAGCTAGGTATCACGAGCAGTTAATGGAGGAAGCCGCAGAGAGAGGAGCGGAATGGCTATGCAGCAGAGTGGAGGAGATCGACGATGGCATGTTGGCGCAATGGGGAAGAATCGATCTAGTGGTCGCAGGTTGGAGCTGCCAGGGACTTTCGCGAGCGGGGAGAGGCCAAGGCATGGGAGATGCACGGAGTGCTCAATTCCGAGACCTGGTGCGAGTGCTGAAGATGATCAAGAGAAGGCAAGGGGAGGTGGCTTATATCATCAAGAATGTGGACATGGCCGACAACCCACGGCCGGCGATACGGGCCGCCAACGAGGAAATCACCAAAGAACTGGGGGCAGGAGTGGCATGGGATGCGGCGCAAAACGGGAGCAGAGCGCACCGACCAAGGAGGTATTGGCAGAACGTAGTACCTGAGGCGGCGCTCAGGTATGAGCTATCACGGTTGGAGCGACCGAGGGCAAGAAGGGTGGAGGATATTCTGGAACCAGGAAGGCTGGCAGCACCAGTCACGGAGGCGGACCACCCCACGCAATACCCCTGCAACAAAGTAGGAGAGCCACGACAGGTGTGGCCGACACTGGTGGCGCATGAAAATGCAAGGGGCTTCAAGGAAGTGGGAGGAGTAGCCGGACCGGGCATGGTGTATGATCAGGCGCGCGGGGTGTGGGAAGAGCCAACCGCACAGGAGAGGGAGCTGGCTATGGGCTTCTTGGCAGGCGCAACGGCCTGTGAGCAGATGACGGAGAAGGACAGGAAGGCGGCACTAGGCAGAGCAATGGATCTGAACGCGCTGCAATGGCTGTTCATGACCATGGCCAACTACCTAGAGAGGAGGTGGCTGGAGAGGCGGATCGGCAAGGCAACTGCAATCAGGCCACAGACCCAGTTGGCGGCAAACAAGGAGATGGAGGCAAGGACAATGCTGGGCGGGCTGTATAAGAAAGAGGAGAACCAGTTGTGGAGAGGAATTCCAGAAGACCGCAGGCGCGCAAGCTAGAGGGACGATAGGGAAGCTATACCAGGGAGGTATGCAGACCCACCGTAGAGTGAAGAAGGATGGGAAGAGGAGGCAGAAGAAGAGATGGAAGAAGAATTAGGGATGGGCAGAGGGGACACCCCGGAAGAGTTTCACGACTCCGACTTTGACAAGGGGGAGGGATTCTACGACTACTTCGACCCACCAGACTGGCCACCCGTAGGGCCAGCTTTCATGGCGCTGGACGCGACAGCAAGCGAGGCAGGACCGCAGACACCAGAGGATGGGAGGACAAGTGAGAGGATAACAGACAGGGCAGAAAGATCTGAAGAGGAGCAGTGTATATGGGACGTGGGAGAAGGATTGCAAGGGGAACATCGGCAAGTAGTGGAAGCCCCGCTGGCGTCACATTGGCAGATGTTTGCCTATTCGCTGAAGGAGTTGGGATGCTGCAACTGTGCGGTCATGACACTCGAGCTAACTACAACGGTACTGGTGTACCAGAGGAGGTGTCGAATTAGCCCGCAGGATCTGGAGATATGCAAGGAAAAATGCCTGGAACTGTTGGAGGCAGGGCTCATACGTCGGTCAGAGTCCAAGTACGCAGCAGCAACGGTAGTGGTTGCCAGGGGGGACCTCATGGGAACAGTGCTGGCGCGCCGCATGTGTGGCGGCTACAGGGATCTGAACAAGGTGATTGTCCCTGAAAGGTACTCTACTCCGATGGTGGATGAACTCTTCGATCAGCTGGCGGAGGCACGGGTGTTTTCCATGCTGGACATGAGGCAGGGATTTAACCAGATCCCTATTGCAGAGGCAGACAAGGCAAAAACGGCTATTCACGGACCGGACGGCGCGTACGAGTGGAACTGAATGCCTTTCGGCCTCAAGAATGCATCACTGCTGTTCCAGAAGGTGATGGATGCGGTTCTATGAGGGATGAAAGGGGCGCTGTGCTACATTGACGACGTGATAGTGTTCAGCACTACTCCAGAAGAGCATGTGGAACGCCTAGCTGAGGCACTACGAAGGATAAGAGAAGCAGGGCTGACCTGTCACCCGAAGAAGTGTCGCTTCGGGCACACGGCGGTGACATACTTGGGATTCGAAGTGGCGGGAGGGAAATTGGCGATTCAGCAAGCGGAGGTGGCTATTCTGGACCAGGTGTCTCCACCTAAGGACAAAAGCGCGCTCAGGGCACTGCTGGGGTTTCTAAACTACTATCGCAGAGCTTCAGCAGGAGGGCGGGCGCCATTGAACAAACTGCTGAAGGAAAATGTCAAATGGCAATGGGGTGAGCAGTAGAAGGCGGCCCTCAAGGATCTGATGGGAGCGGTAAAGAGTGGTGCAGTGCTTCAGCTACCGCGGGCAGACATACCCTTCGTGCTCTACACAGATTGGAGCAGCACAGGCATGGGGACCATCCTTAGCCAACAGGAGGGAGGGGAGGAGAAGGTCGTGGCATTTGCCAGCCGTTCATGCAACCCGGCGGAGGCTAATTACTCTTCATACGAGGGCGAGGGGCTCGCCGCAGTATGGGCAGTGGGGCACTTCCGTGTGTACCTGCAAGGCCGGCCCTTCACGCTGGTCACTGATCACCAGCCGCTGTTGTGGCTGATGCAGAACCAAAGTCTTACAGGGAGGAACGCCAGGTGGGCGATGAAGCTGCAAGAGTACCAGTTCACCATTCGTCATCGCCCGAGGAAAACTATGCAGCACGTGGACGGCCTCTCCAGGAATCCGCCGGCAGTAGCGCCAGAGATGGCACTGGTAGCATTCGTGACAGATCCCGTCACACCGCTGCACAGGGAGTAGCAGGCAGGAGCCACGGATGTATGGGAAGATCAGGAAACGCTGGCTTGGCTAAGGGGAGAGACTGCAGAAGGAGCGGTGGTCTCAGTGAGGGCCCGAAGCAGGGGGTAGATCAGGACGCAGGATGGATGGAAGAGGGTGCCTGAACCAAAGGAGAGAGAAGGAGTGATACAGGAAGTGCACAACAAGCTGGGGCACTTTAGCCCACTACGGACACAACAACTTATGCAGACAGGATGGTGGTGGGCAGGGATGCGTCGGGAGATCAAGGACTGGGTTGCCAGGTGCCCGGCATGCATCAGGAACCGAGCAGCATTCGAGAGGAGCAAGGCTGAGCTGCAGCCTCTGCCGGTCGTGGGGCTGGGCTATTGGTGGTCACTGGACTTGGCGGGAGAGCTACCCTTAACCAAGCGAGGGCTGCGGTATGTGGTGGTCATGATTGAGCACGTGAGCAAGTGGGTGGAGGTGCAAGCAGTAAGCCACAAGACATCTGAGGCAGTGGCAGAGGCCTTTGAAGAACAAGTGCTAACACGCTTTGGAGCATGTGGGGAAGTGCTGACAGATCAGGGCATCGAGTCCCAAGGGGGATTTGAGGAGCTACCGGCCTCATGCCTAATTCCTCATCGTACGACGTCTAGGTATTATCCGCAGAGCGATGTCCTGACGGAGCGGCTCATTCAGACCCTGAAGCGCGGGCTGCATGCATACGGAGAGACAAGGAAGAGGGACTGGGACCGGCAACTCCACTGGATAATGGCGGGGTACAGGTTTAGCAAGCAGGCGGCACTCAGGGACCTCTCACCCTACCATCTGCTCTTTGGCCGAGAGGCAGTTCTGCCGGTGGGAGCCCTGCGAGTTTTGACAGATGTGGTTACGGTGGGCACTGCGGAGAAGTGGGCAACACTGGCGGCAGTTAGGGGAGAGTATTTGCGGCGCTTGTTGCCAGCGGCCCTGGAGAGTCTGCACATGGCTCATCTACGGGACATACACCGCTACAAGCAGCGACAAGAGCAGAGGGCGAGCGGAGCGCCACAGGCACTACAGCGGGGACATGAGGTGTACATATGGCGTCCTAAGAAGGATGGACTTGATGTGGGACTGTCACAGCAACGCTGGACTGTGAAGGAAGTGCGAGAGTCAGGGGTGCTAGTGCTGGAAAGTGAGGCTGGGGTAAGAGCAGTGGATCACATTACCAACGTGGCACGCACGGGAGTCGGAGCGGGAAGGTAGCAGGGTCCTGTGACTAAGGCGAGGGCGGCGCAAGGTCACGGGAGGGGGCAAGGGGATACCAAGCATCACAAGCATTAAGGTCAGCAAGAAGGTCACACCAAGTGAGAGGCAGGGGGGAAACTACTACAGAGCCAGGAGTCAACTCAACATGGGTCAGAAAGTAAGGAGACGGATTTCACGAGACAAGAGAACCAACAGAGAGTGGGGAAGAGTGGAGGAAGACAGGAGAAGGGCACCAGGGCAGAGAGAGGTAAGGGAATTTCCGACACGTGCGTACGGCCACACTTTGTGTAGATCGCAGCGACGCCAGGCGGTGCAGCAGGTTGCGAATGGGCCGAGAGGATTTTGAGGCTGTGGCCGAACCACTACCTCGCTGTCTCAATAGTGCCGTGCACACCCGCGCGCTGGCAAAGATCCTCCGCTATGCATCACAACCGCGCCCTGCGTCATGCACTGCCCCATGACACTAACAGAGCCGCCAATGAGCAGTCACGCCTTCCGTAGAGGCACATCGCGGTGCGATGACAAAAAATCCACAGCATCACCACGTCGCGACATAGCTCTCATCCGTCCTTCGTCTCTAGTCCCTCACTCTCCTCTCCCATCCCGTCCTCTCCTCTCTCATCCCTTGCTCGCATCTCTCATCCCTCGCCCGCATCTCTCACCCCTCACCCGCATCTCTCATCCCTCGCTCGCATCTCTCATCCCTTGCTTGCATCTCGCATCCCTCGCTTGCATCTCTCATCCCTCGCTCGCATCTCTCATCCCTCGCTCGCATCTCTCATCCCTCGCTCGCATCTCTCATCCCTCGCTCGCATCTCTCATCCCTCCCTCGCATCTCTCATCCCTCGCTCGCAGCTCTCATCCCTCGCTCGCATCTCTCATCCCTCGATCGCATCTCTCAGGTCCTTGTCCCCCAGGTCGCACCCCCCCTTCATCTCCGTTCCACACCTCCCTGTCCCCCAGGTCGCACCCCCCCTTCATCTCCGTTCCACACCTCCTTGTTCCCCAGGTGGCACCCCCCCTTCATCTCCGTTCCACACCTCCCTGTCCCCCAGGTCGCACCCCCCCTTCATCTCCGTTCCACACCTCCTTGTCCCCCAGGTCGCACCCCCCCTTCATTTCCGTTCCACACCTCCCTGTCCCCCAGGTCGCACACCCCCTTCATCTCCGTTCCACACCTCCCTGTCCCCCAGGTTGCACCCCCCCTTCATCTCCGTTCCACACCTCCCTGTCCCCCAGGTCGCACCCCCCCTTCATCTCCGTTCCACACCTCCCTGTCCCCCAGGTCGCACCCCCCCTTCATCTCCGTTCCACACCTCCCTGTTCCCCCCCACAGAGCACCTTATCACTCCCTCACAATGCACTACCCCTCCCATCCCTTTGCATCCTCTCCCCTCCAATCCCATTTATTATCTTCGCTTCCCATCCCTCCCCTTCCCTTCCACAGACCTCCCTGCACTTCCTCTGCCCCTCTCCTCACAGGCCTCTCCGCTCTCGTCCCATCCCCCGCTCTCCCCTCCCTCTTCGCTCTGATCCCTAAATCTGCTCACTCATCCCTGCCCCGCCATCCCTCGTGACACGTCCTCCCCTCTCTCATCCCTCCCTCTTCACTCCGCTCGCATCCTGTCCTCCCATCTCTCATTTCGCGCGGATCTCTCTCATCCCGTCCACCACTCTCTCATCCCGTCCTGCGCTCTCCCATCCGTGACTCTCCAGTCACATCCCGTCCTCCGCTCTCATCCCTCCCTCTCTGCTCTCATCCCGCCCTCCCCTCTCTCAACAACTTCCCTCTTTGCTCTCATCCCGTCCTCCGCATGTGCTCATCCCTCCCTCTCTGCTCTCGTCCCGCTCTCAACAACTTCCCTCTTTGCTCTCTTCCCGTCCTCCGCTCTCTTATCCCTCCCTCTCTGCTCTCATCCCGCCCTCCCCTCTCTCAACAACTTCCCTCCTTTCTCTCATCCCGTCGACCGCTCTCCCATCCCTGCCCACCCATCCCTCATCCCGTCCGCCGCTATCTCTTCCCTTCCTCTCCTCTACCATCCCCTCCTCCGCACCCTCACGCCTCCCTCCCCTCACCCATCCCGTCTGCCGCTCTCTCATCAGTCCCTATGCCCGTGTTCCCCACTCCCCCGCAGGGCGCGTCGTGCCTGTTTCTCGTCCGGGCCGTGCTCTACCCCGCGCTACAGGTGCAAGGGCCTCGGTCTTAGGTGTGAGATACACTGAAGCACAACTTTACCTGGCGCTGATAGAAGCTCTTGTTCAGGAAGTTCAACTTCTCAAGCACATCAGCAAGAAAGTACATGAAAAGGTGGAACCGGTAGGATGTGGCGAGCAAATACACGGCGAAATGGATCTCTTTTAGGAAAACGATGACAGGTGGCCACACTGCCAGGATGCAAAGCAACGCATCCCCCCAAGAGAGCCACCGAACTTGATGTATGCCCTAGACTTCCAGGTTGGTCTCGGGTGAGAGCAGTTTAGACGATGGGGTCAATGACGTTGATGCCTAGGATCCGTGAAAGTCGGTCTCGGAATAACCCAGGGCAAGTCCCCGGTTCTAGATTGAACTTACATGCTGGGGTCGGATAAAACGATGGAAACTATTAGCGACCGAGTGGGCGGCTATAGTACGTCCGAGATTTTCGGAGGCGAACTGCACCTGCAACTGCAGATTTACATGGGTTTTTCCAACCGACATCTACAGAGTTTGTTCCGAGACTTAACAGGCTTGACGGCGAAAAGCGCCGACGATTCTGGAGGAATATTAGGCGTTTTGTTAAACGCGCGCGACAACGACGTGGGAAAACACCGTGAGATTAACAAAGACTTTTCAAGGGGTAAGAACGACTTACGACGATCTGAAGAAAGCGGCAGCAACAGTGAAGGAGGGGGATAAACAGCTATAATTTTTCATCCCTGCCTAGGAGTCATTGGCGGATTGTGACAAAATGCTCGGCGATTCTGGACAAAATCGCCAGAGGTGCTGACATTATCTGATACTGGATCGACATTCGACAATGTTTTATTGTGTGACATTCGATTAGGAAACTGTGGAAACGACTATCGCCGTCTCTCGTATTTGACTCACGACAATTCGCCACGACAAAAGACTCTACATTCTCCAAGTCAAATGCTTACCAGATGCAACTGCTGAAGATGTCGCCTAATTGTGGTGATGTGAAGACAAAAATGTTCAGTTCGAGTAACATGGATTTTCCGCCGCGGTTTCTGGTCTACGACTTCGAATTCACCTTGATTTTTTTTTTTTGCGCGTAATACATGGTTTCGTCATCGATTTCCACACCGACGACATTCCGCGTGAATTCTACGCCTAACGCTTGCTTACATGGGACTTAACACCTGGTTTCATCGGTTGTTCATCTCGGTGCAGCTGTGAAACATTTTTATAGACAGCCTTCTTGAAGGGGGGGAGAAGTGCACTGCACTGTTCTTCCCTTGCACATTTTTTTCGACACTATTCTGGTTTTGTCAGAATACAGCACCATGATGGATGACTGCAATTGTTTCTTCAACTTAAACAGCTCCAGATTAATCGCGATTAAATTTTGCGTTGGACTGTTCCTGTCAGAATGTTATATTTGTTATCTAGCCTGCAGTGGGGTACTCTATAGCGAGTATAACCCCTTAGGGTTTCATATTTGTATCTCATTGCTTGCTAGTACAACCCCCTCTTTTGCCTAACTTCTTCCTTGCCTAGCTAGGTTAGTCCTAGCTATGGCTACTATCATTACCTACCTATTTTCACATGGTGATCAGAGCAGTAAGCTCCAGGCCTGTGGGCCTCACCACAATCCTTCCGCTGCAACTGCTTCTTTCCCTTACCGCCGTGCGCCCCGAGGCGCGCGGCGGTTTTCTGCCCGCCGTGCGCCCCGAGGCGCGCGGCGGTTCTCTTCCCGCCGTGCGCCCCGAGGCGCGCGGCGGGTTACTTGCCCGTCACGCCGCGCGCAGCTCCCGGGAGGCGCTGCGACGGGCGACGGGGACCTCCGCGTCGCCCCCCGTCGCCCGTCGTGGCCTTCGCGCGGCCCGTAAAGCCTGCGCGCGGCACGTACGGGCCGCGCCAGACCCGTCAGCGGCCCGTACGGGCCGCGCCAGACCTAGGCGCGACCCGTACGGGCGGCGCCAGGCCCGCGCGTGGCTAGGGCCGCCTGCGCGTGGCTCGGGCGACCCTACCTGCGGCCCTGGCCCCGGCCCCGACGCCCTACCTCCGCCCCGGCCCCATCGTCCGCCTGCGGCCCCTTTTCCCGTCGCCCGTCGCGGCTCCCTCCGGGGCCCTGAGGGAGGGGGGCGAGCGCCGCCCCTTCTGCTGCCTGTCTTGGCGCCCTGGGAGGCCGCACGTCGGTTCCCCCCCCCCCCCCCCCCCCCCCCCCCTCCCCCGTAACCTCCCTACCCGCCATCCCGCCCTGCCTGTGTTAGGGTTTGGGGAGTGGCAAGTAGGGGGTGGCGAGTATGGGGGTGGCTCTTCTGCATTCCTCCCTTTGCTCCTCCTCCTCCTTCGTCTCCCACTGCTGCAGCTGTTGCTGAGGGGGGTGGATGAGTGGGAGACTGGGGTTTAGGGTTTAAGGGGGGGTGAAGGGGGAGTGGAGCTAGCGATGTAGCAGTGGGTGTGTGCCAGGGGGAGTAGGACAGGTTGGGGAAGCTGAATGGAGGTTGCCGCTGTGTCGCTAGCAGCACCTGTAGTCCGGGGGCTTCGTCCGGTAGCTCAGTCGTAGCTAGCTGTGCCAGCCGCCCGTGGGTCCATTGCTCGTCTGCCGCTACTTAAGCCGCGGGGCCAGTTACTCCTGTATTCCGGGGACTTCGTCCGGTAGCCGCTGTGCCAGTCTGCCTCCTGTTGCCCGTGTGTCTGCAGCTTCATCCGTCGCCTCCTATCTCCTCTCCTCTCAGTCTCTCTCCTCCTCCTTACTTGCCCGTTGTGACTACCTCTAGCTTTGCTTATAACTGTGAACTTTATACTACTGCTGCTTGAACTTGTGCTCAGACTGTGTGGTGACATTGTGATCCACCCTGAGCTTGTTCTGTTTTGCTTGCTCTGCTGATTACACCCCACTTTGGCTATGGGGGTGTGTCAGAATGTTATATTTGTTATCTAGCCTGTAGTGGGGTGCTCTATAGCGAGTATAACCCCTTAGGGTTTCATATTTGTATCTCATTTCTTGCTAGTACAACCCCCTCTTTTGCCTAACTTCTTCCTTGCCTAGCTAGGTTCGTCCTAGCTATGGCTACTATCATTACCTACCTATTTTCACAGTTCCCTCCAGAATCGCATCAACGTTGACCGTCAGATCGAACTTCGAGTTTATCAACGGTCCTGTTTCCAGCTTCAATTCAAATTGGTGTGGATCATCTGCGATTGTCAGATCAAATTTGAATTTGATCTATGGTCCACATTCCAACCATTTCAGTTCAAATTCGCCAAGGCATTTCAGCCGTCAGATTCAGCTACCATGGAGATCAACGGCAGCTTTGTTGTTGAGGGACTCATCTGGTTATGAGGCGGTCGTGTTTGGAAGGTGGGAGAGTGTAAGGAATTACGTTTCCTTACTGTACTCTCACTTTATCGAGAAGATCCCGAGGGTCACGCGACGAAGCTGTTCGGCCTATTTTGTCGCACCAAACCACTCCCGAGTCGCCTCCGCACCAATCGCAACCATTACCGAGCCATCCTCGCCCAACCTCCCCGCCTAGCTAGCTTTTCCCCTATTTAGGTCTCGTCACTTTGTGTGTATCGTCATTCAGTAATCCTCATTCTCGTTATTCGATATTCTGCGCACTCTGCAAGTTCATTCATAAGATCAGTCAATTTACATTCACTCTAATCTGATGTCAACTTCTTCCGCGGCAATATCTTTCTGCGATCAACCCTGTCAAGAAACTGAACGAGAATGATTGCATTGAAAAGAAAGTTGGTACAAGTACTAACCCTAATTGGGTTGTACCCCTTGCTGCCTACCCCGCTACAGCCTACACAATAAAAACATTATAACAGTTTGACACACCCCCATAGGCAAAGTGGGGGAGAACAAGGGGTCACGAGACTAGTCAAGAAAACCAAAGCAAGCTCAGGGTGGATCACGAAGTCACCACAAATTCCGAGCACAAGCAAATGGCCATAAGTTCACATGGAAAGTTATATAAAAGAGAACAAACAATACAGTGATCAATACCTAGCAATAGTAAGCATGCAGGTATATATGTATAGATCACAGTACAAGTAAAGTCGCGAAGTGAGCAAGTGAGACGAAGCAGGCACAAGGCCTAAAGCAGTACACAAACGCTGATGATCACAAGGTGGAATTGCCTTGGTGAATATTGTAAACAGGAATGGAGTGTTGGCCCCGCCCTCGATTGGGCAACGCCGACGACATGGTCGGATGTACAGGAGTAGCAGCCGACCGTTCACAGTGGGAGAGATGCTCGACAGGCTTCGTCGAGCTGCACGGAACCGCTGTGGTGTTGCTGTCGACCAGGGAGCTCGACAACTGCAACTGTCTGGTCTGGGCGACGGGTGGGACGTCGACCAGGACCTGTAGCTCGACTGGGAGGTCTTCGGAGCATCCCGTCGACCTGCCGTTCGACCGGGAGGTCTCCAGAGCATCCCTTCGACCTGCCGTTCGACCGGGAGGTCTCCGGAGCATCCTGTCGACCTGCTGCTCGACCGGGAGTTCTCCGGAGCATCCCGTCGACCTGCTGCTCGACCGGGAGGTCTCCGGAGCATCCCGTCGACCTGCAGTTCGACCGGGAGGTCGACGGAGCAGTCGGAATGGGTTCGTCGACCAGGGGACAGCTTGACGGGAGTTGTGGTCGACCAGAGGAACTTGGTGGTCGACCAGAAGGACCTGGTGGTCGACCAGAAGCAGTGGTGGTCGACCGGAAGCATCTGGTGGTCGACCGGGTCGACCGGGTAACTTGCTCGACAAGTTCTGCAGAGGCACGCGAACGTCGTCGAGGTTGCGATGGCGCAGGCGACTGCGGGCGGGTATCTCGGAGTCAATGTGGCTCGTCAGGCGCAGACAACAGCCGACGGATGCCCAACGAGGCAAGTCGGGCCAATCGTATGCGCGCACCTGCGAGCGTGCGCACTGCTGTGGTCTACGGGGCAACGCTGGACAGCCGCTCCGATGCAGCGTTGGCATGCCGTCGACCTGCTCTGTTGGCAGGTCGCCTTTCTGCAGTGCTGGCGCGGCTCCTCTACGCAACCCTGGCAGGCGGTCGACCGAGCTGTGCTGGCGGTCGACCAGGCTAGCAGCAGGGTTGCTAGGTGCCTTATGTAGTCATTGTTGTCACTGCTTGTTTAATCATTCTGTAATTTTCAATTTTGCCTTGTGGAAACTCTTGCCGATTACTCCCGTGAATGCGCAAGCACTGAGGAACTAAGCAAAGCTACGATCACCTCTAGTAGTTCGTGTCAACCCCGTAGTCTAGCTCACTACCGTTGTTGAGTGACTCTCCGCAAATATATCAGT